TAAAGTCTATTCTGATTGGGCTAATCATTTGTTTCCCTCTTTCTTTCCAAAATTTTAAGAAGTGGAATAGACATACTTATATCTCCCTCTTCTCTTTTTTCTGCAACATTCTCCATTCCCTCAAAAGAAGATTTCACACACGCTGTCACTTGTTTTCTCAATCTCTCAAGATGTCTCAACAATTTGTGTCATCATCTTCATCAAAGGCAACTGCATCTTCCTCACCCTCTGACACTGAACCTAGGGCAATCGTAAACTGCATGGATGCTGATGTTCTTGAGATAACTCCACTTCGTGAAATGGTAGCTGATCCTACTCAGGTCAAGAAGCTGCGAACCAGACATGCAAGAAGATCACAAGCTTCTCCATCTGGTAAATCTTCTCAACCATCATCTTCTATTCCTCTAGAGATAGCTAATAGGGAAGGTTCTGCTTATGTGCATCAAGCTATTGCCAGACTAGTCACTAGGATTCTTAATGAGAATCACTTTGTTCCTGGCATATATGTACCATTGAACCAAGAAACTGCTAGCCCTAATGTAGAAAGGGATCCAGATGTTACTCAGAATGTTGAGACACCTGATGACAACATTGGGAAATCTCTAGAAAAACTTGATGGTCACCAGACCCCTACTGACAAGGTTGTTGAACCTCCTGTCATTGATGTTGATGAAGAATTCTCTGACAATGATTTAATTGCCAATATCAACCCTAGCATAGCTAGAAGGATGATGAGTAGAAAAGAGAAGTAGAATGCTGCCCAAAGCCCCTCCAAAGAGAAGGCTACTGAAGTTGTTCATGAGAAGACGAGGCGTGAGAACAAGTCTGAGAAGGCTGGAACTTCGAAAGGGAAGGGTAAGGTAAAAGCTAGGGTATCTGTTGGTAGTCTCTCAAAACCCTTGAGACAACCTATAGCCAAGAAAAGAAAGGCTCCTGAACCCTCTGAATCTGATGAGGAATCAGACTTTGATTTTGATGTTAAGAGCAATGTTCCAGACATTCCTCTCAGGAAGAAACCCTCTTTTAGCAAACTGCCTAAGGTTCCTGAAGTTGCCATTGACAACATCTCCTTTCACCATCCAGAAAATGCAAGCAGGTGGAAGTATGTGTTTATGAAAAGGATTGCCTTGGAGAGGGAGCTGATCAGAAGTGCTATTGAGTGTAAGGAAGTCATGGATCTAATCAAAGCTGCTGGCCTGATGAAAACAGTGGTCAAGTTTTCCAACTGCTATGAGATTCTTGTCAAAGAATTCATAGTAAATTTGTCTGGTGGTTGTGTTGATGGAAAGTCAGCTGATTTTAAGAGTGTTTATGTGAGAGGAAGGAAGGTAAATTTCTCTCTTACTGTGATAAACAAATACCTAGGGAGGCCTGATGATGCTCAACCTGAGCTTGAAGTTACTGACAACCAGGTTTGTCAAACCATCACTTCCAAGCAAGTCAAGCACTGGCCCTTGAAAGGGAAGCTAACTGCAAGCAAGCTGAGCATGAAGTTTGCCATACTGCACAAAATTGGTGCAGCTAACTGGGTTCCCACCAACCACAAATCCACCATTTCCACAGGTTTGGGAAGATTTATCTATGCTGTTGGAACCAGAACAAACTTTGATTATGGCAACTACATCTTTGATCAAACATTGAAACATGATGAGAGTTGTGCTATTAAAGGCCCTATTGCTTTTCCCTCTCTCCTGTGTGGTATAATCATTGATCAGTATCCTGATATCCTGGTTGAAAAAGACTCTGTGTGCAAAATAGCCCTGCACTTGGTTTTCACTATAAGCTGTTTCAGGGAACACATGTCCCTGACATTGTCATGACATCTGCTGAGACATCAAATGTCAAAGCTCATTCCAAGAAAACTGATGTTATAGTTGTTCTAAAAGAAACCCGCATAGAGCTTGATGCAAGAAAAAGGACTCTTGAAGAGCTGATTGCTAGTCTGGAACAGGAGGAGAATGACGAACAAATGAGGGAAGAGGATGCTGATGAAGAACAACATGATGCTGCTGAAAATAGTGCTTCCTCAGGGGATAACAGTACCTGAAGGTCTGTGATTGATGAAAAGATTGGTGTTGGAACTTGTTGCTGCTAAATGATACCTTCTCTCTGGTTATATTTTTTTTTAATTTACTTTTGGATGACTGTATAACTTAAAGTACTAGTACCTTTGGCCTCTTTATGGCTAAAAAGGGGGAGAAGAAATTGTGGTAATTTTGGTAGAATTAGATATTGGTAGCTGTTATTTAAAAATTCTGCTGCACTCTAATCTCTGATTGTTTAGGGGTTTTAGCCAAAAATTTGCCAAAAGGGGAGTTTGTAAGTGTTTGTTTGTTGGCATTATTTTTTGATAAAACCAGATTTGCGAATGTCATGACTGATGTCATAACATTCTGGGATAAAGGTACATTCTGCAGAAGGAATGTTCTACAGGAACTACTCAGTATGAGTGATTATCATGATCATTAAGCTATAATCATATGTACTGAATTCTACCAAAATCAGTGAGCAAGATACATGATGTCATAACCAATGTTAAGACATCCTGTACTGATCTAGTTGTTATGCAAATTTATTATTCCTGAGAATTTTCAGGAAACTGGTGTGCTACTCTGAGTTGAAGAATTATTGTCCAGATCAGCTGCTCACGTGGACATTAGGTTAACCTTGCTTAACTCTAATCTGTTATGAAAAAGCCCTAGACCAAGTCTTTAGGTTAACTTTAGTTAACCCTAGCTATTTTTATGGAAGCCCTAAAAGAGGAATAGTCTGCTTATATATTTCTCACGAAGCCTAATGGACTGCAGCACTTTTGACAGAAGATCAATAAGGCACTGCATAGTTGTAACTACTGTGAGCCAAGCAATTATCGTTTTGATAAGTGACTTGGAGTAGGATTTGATTGTAAGGGTTGTTTATCACTCAAAGCTTTGAAGCACGAGTGTTTGTGTCTCTTGATTAAAGCTTTGAAGCAAAATCAAGTGTGTGTATTGAAGAATGTCTTCATAATCTCATTAATCAATAGATTAGTATCACTGCTCTGATCGAGGGGGAGTGAGTAGGAACTCAGGTTTAAGTAGGACTTAGATTGAAGTTGCATTGGGTAGGTCTTAAGTGAAGGAGATAAACTGGTTGGTTTATTCCTAAATTAACACCTCTTATAGTGAATTTCCTCCCTGGCTTGGTAGCCCCCAGAGTAGGTGTTGTTGCACACTGAACTGGGTTAACAATTGATTGTGTTCTTTACTGTTTTTTTTTTTAAATTACTGTTTGGAGTGTGTACAAGTTTGTCAGATATAGTGTCATAATATTCACTGTGACATTAAGTATCTGTTGCCAGAATTTCAAATTTATTTAATTTTAAGAAAAATCAAATATAGCTTCTAAACTTCTATTAATTTAAAAAAAATATCTTCTAAGAAAATTTATATCATATACAAATATCTTTAAATTAAAAAAAAGTCTTATAATTTGTTTTAAACTACCTTTTAAAAAAATGCTTTTTAAAAATTTATAACATATACCTTTTATATTCTTTTTAGAATTTATTTTAAATTTGTGAGTTAAGAAAATTGAATTTAATGGGACGAATCTAACTATTTGAGTCAAATTATTTATAATTTATAATGAATTTGAGTTTAAAAAATATCAGTGTCAAATTCAAAATGAGTTTTAAGTTGAACCAATTCTTAATAAATTAAGTTGAATTGATGTGAGTTAGATTCAACTCGAAATATTTTCAAACGTACCCTAACATCTTTAAAAAAAACATTGAGATCCTCTTCTATTGTATGTCTCCTTCTGTTCATTCTGCCACAATCCAAACCTTTAGATTCAGAGAAAAAAGGTAAAAATAAATTAAACTATTAAACTTAAAACCAACGATCCAACATTATGCATGAGAGGTCGCTGCAGAAAAACGCAGGAGGGGATTGATATCCTCTAAAAAAATAAGAAAGTCTTATATAATAAGTATAACCTTGCTCTATCAATTTACATTAATTTAGTGTTCATTTATTTGATAGATAGACTAAATGATAAATATTCTCCACTAGTTTAAATAATAATCTTAGACAAAATATTATTTTTAATTCCATATTTTTTACTCAAAATTTATTTTAATTCTTTAATTTTAAAAGTGTTCAAATTAATCTTTTAACTTTTAAAATAAGTTATATTAATTTTTTTCGTCTATTTTCTTCAAATCGAGTTACATTTTATCTATGTGTCATCCTACTTGCCATTCATGTGATAACATTCATCTTTTAAACCACCATTTTCATCATTTGCATCAATTTAGAACATGAAGTTCATCTTCTCCTCTAATGATAAGTTAAGTTTGATTTTATTGTTTTATTATAATTAAAATCTTCAAACGTGGTGCGCGCAAAATCAAACATGCGTACACTATATTAAATTATTTTTTCCATCTCACATAAATAATATTCTCCATTTTAAAATATGAAATAAAAAATAAAAAATACATCTATAAAAAAGTAAAAATATAATTATTTAACTTATGATGTTTTTGAAATAATGTATTTAGAAAGATGTAAAAACAATTTTAATTGATTATTGATTATAAAAAGATGGGAGAGAATATAACTTAAATACATTTTACATATAATTTAATTTAACTTAAAAAATATGAAAGTGATTTTTTTTTCTTATATTTTATAATAAAAAATATATATTTTTTCTCGGACGGGAGGTAATGCTTGATCAACCATAATTGAAGTTTTTGTCTAAATTCTAAATCAAAGTGTATCAACTTTTTGTATCAATTTATTACATTTGAAATAAAAGTGGTATAATCTAATTGAGTACAATGAATCAAAGATAAGTCAAATAAGAAAAAGAAAAAAAAATGGTCAAACTATTAAAACTTACATTATTTATAGTAATATAAAATATTAAAATAAAGGATTGTAGAAAACAAAAATATAAATATGAAAAACATTATGATTCTTGATTGTAACCCAATTTTATGAGAGAAGATAATGAGAAACGAAAGGGTAGAAAAGGTAGGAAAACGAGAGATAAGTAGGAAAGGAAGTAAAGCAAGAAGATGGCTGATGATGGGCAGTGAGGGGCAGAGACATACGGTGGAAGCCGGGAAGGCGACGATAATGCAGCGGACCGGGCTGACCGCTAGGGACCTTAGGATTCTTGATCCTATGTTGTCATACCCTTCAACAATTATGGCTCGTGACAAAGCAATGGTCTTAAACTTGGAACAAATAAAGGCTATTGTTACTGCACATGAGGTTCTTTTGCTCAATTCTAGAGATCCCTCTGTTGTCCCTTTTCTTGAACAACTTCATGCAACAATTCTTCATCACCACACTGCTATTATTCATCATTCTCGAGTAAGTTTATCTTGCGCTTAAGTACTATTAGTGATAATTATCAATGTTGTTGATTAAAAATGTTTTTTTAAAAATAACTTTTTTGTAATAATTTAAAATGAAATTCTAGTTTTAAAGTTACGCCATGTGATTTCTTTGATAATCTATTGGCTATTAAATCAAAAACAAAAAATAATTATAAAGATTTTTTGTGTTGTCAATTCTAGAAGTTAGATTATAATAATAATTAAACTTTTTTATAATTATATTTTTGGTAATAAAATATAAATAAAAATTGAAATGTATTTGGTCTAACTTTTGAATGAGATACATATATCTCTTTGAATTATTTTGCTTATAATCATTCTATTTGTTGAGAATACATATATTTTTTGATATATAAAATTAAATTTTTAAAAAAAATTTAAGAGTCTATTTAATAAAAATAATAATTGACAATAAATTAATTTATAGTTTATAACTGATGACTGATAATTTATAATTTATACTTGATGGTTGAAATCGATGACTGATAAGTTAATTGAATTATTTAATAATATTAGTGATTTAATTAATTTATAAATATAAAATAACATAAAATATTTAATATATATAATTATTTATTTTAAATTATAATAAATTACTAAGAATAAAGTGTATTTTAATTAAAATAATAAAATAAAATAAATAGTAATAAATTATAAACTAAAATACTATTTGAAATAACATCTAGAAAATAAACTATAAATTAGTAAAACAAATTATAAATTCGTTATTAAAAAACCTTTATTAAACAGGTTTAAAATTTTATATATATATATATATATATATATATATATATATATATATATATATATATATATATATATATATATATATATATATATATATATATATAAACTCAAAAATTTGTCTACTTTAAATATCTTTATTTTTCCTCTATTTTTACCATAATTAATTTTTAGTCACTTTAATTCTAAAATTGGGGCTTATAAAAAAATTCTAATATTGGGTTTCTTATACCTTCTTTTTATCAACTTTGAGATTTGACACAAATCTCAATCATTCAATGTTCCATTGAACTCCTTTAATACTTTATCTTGAAATTTTCATTTTTCAAAAAGTTCTTAAATCTCATAATTTTTTAACATTTTAAACTTGATTCCCTAATGACTGCATAATTAAGCTTAAAGATTTTAGCTTAATGGTGTCACATCACTATTACATAACTAATTAAGATGGCATATCATAAAAAATGTTGGGTACAAAAGTGCATTTAAAAAATCAATATTAATTTAATGTGGCGATTTAGAATCACACTCGTCTTTCAAAATTTTTTTTTTTTTAAAAATCCAAACATCCACTTTATTTTGAGAAAATCCATATACAATTTTTCTTGAAAGATTTAAAATTAATGTTGAACTTGGAAATTTTGGTTTTGAAATGTAATTTTAATTATTAGTTTTATTTTTCGTCACATCTTTTTAGTGAATATATATTTAATAAAAATAATTTTAAATATTAAAATCAATTTTCATGAAACAAAAAATATACTTAAATTATTATTATTTTATAAAATAATTTTTTATAATAAAATTATTTATGTCGAAATAAATATATGATCCGTTTAAATTGACATATTTCAACTTATCTAATAACATAAATTTTATAATATAATTTAAAAGACCTTATCAAAATAGATTATAATATATTTTTTAAAGTTTTCTTAATTTTATTTTTTTAAATTGTCTAAATAACTTAAGGAAATGATTTATAACATATATTAAAAATAATTTAAATTTATTTTATTTTAAAAATAATTTATAAAGATTAATCCATAAATATTTATTTTAATTTGTGTTTGTACAATAAACATTAAATAAGTTGTTTATAATTAAAACAAACCTAATGAAAACTAATTTATTTTCAACATTACTCTTCTGATATATATCTATTATGATCACCATTATGAAAATTGCAGGATGATCAAGAAAAGAAGGATGAGGATGAAATAAAACAAGTTAACAACAATAAGAAGATTATTCCATTTGAGTTTGTGGTGTTGGAGGCATGTCTTGAAGATGTTATAAGTTCCTTAGAAAATGAGGTGTGTATGTACTATGTTTTTCTATGTTGTTTGATTGTTTTTATTGAATTGTTAGTTTTCAACAATCTATTTGCTTTTGTTAATTGTTTTTTAGGCCAATATATTGGAACTTGAGGCTTATCCTGCCCTAGATAAGCTAACCTCAAAGATTAGTACTCTTAATTTGGAACGTGTTCGCCATGTTAAAAGTCGATTAGTTGCCTTAACTGCTCGTGTTCAAAGGGTTAGAACTTACTTTCCTATTATCAATTTGTCATTTAACTTTATACTAATATCAAATTTCCAATTCATTCCCTTTGATAATTAGTACATAGATAATTTTGATTATTTAATTTATTTGTTTATTTTTTATTTTTAGTTTTTACCTTCCAATTATTGGAAGGGTTGAGAAAAAGGCTGCACTGCACCTCTATATATTAATATTATATTGTTTATTCATTTCGATTTGAAATGATTTGTTAATCCAAGGGAGAGAATATCTTTTTAATTTTCTACGAGTCAAGAGTCTTGAATAAAAAGCTACAAATAGGTTTTTTTAAAGCAAATTTGAATTAAGAGAAGTATTAGAGATACACCCGTCCGATTATAATAAAATGAATGTTAAAGCAACCTTCAAATCATAAGCACAAATTCATGAGACAACAACAATCGACCTAGAGAGAATCGTTGTTGTTGTTATGAGACAGAGCAAACTACTCTCAGAATCTAAACTTAACCAAATAAGCCAAATCCTTTACGTCTACGAAAGCCTCTGCAAAAAAGAATATATTTCTATAAGACCAAATAAACTAACTCATCCAAGACCCAAATAAGCCAAATCCTTTACGTCTACGAAAGCCTCTGCAAAAAAGAATATATTTCTATAAGACCAAATAAACTAACTCATGCAAAACCTCAGACCCCAAACCTTCCATAAAGTAATTAAAATGTGCAAGGGAATTAGAAACAATATTAACTTCGACACACCTCAACCAAGAACAGATATGCAGCCACCCGTTACGACTAGCCTCACAATTAAAAAATAGGTGAACAATATCTTCTTCTTCTTCTTTGAAATATAGAGGACACACCGAATCATGAATTCCATTGATAACATTCTTCCTTTCCAATTCAACTTTATTTTGAAATTTATTTATTAACAACCTCCATATGAAAAATTGATTTTACTCGGTAAGTTTGATTTCCATAACTCATTAAGAACCTGAAAAACCTCCTCACCCACAACTGAATCTGTCTGCTCCGTACTCACCAGCATGACATAACTGTTCTTGATAAAAAAATCTAGCACCACACTTCCACCACACATGATTATCGCGTGTGTACCTGTTTGACCTAACCTCCTATAGAATATTGATTAGTTGATTTCTGCCACATATTCTTCGCAACAAGAAAACTCGGGAGAAACCTACAGACCCCAATGCCACACTTCCCAAATCCAACGCATGACATAATGTACCTGAATGTTAGGATTTACAACATGACAGAATAGGTTCTTGAACTATTGAGACCGTGAAATCTGACCAATCCAGATGTGCTTCCAAAATTGAATGTTACTACTATTCCCTAACTTACACGAAATTGCCTCGGTGAGTCAATTGCACTTTTCGGTTCAAGCCCTTGTTAAGCCAACCAGATCTTTCCACCAGATAAACATATTCTTACTTGAAACCAAACAAGGACAATCAATCATTTGCGCTTGCACACCTCCATATCTAAAGGACATAATCTTGAACCAAAATGAACCGGGTTCGGATAATACTCTAAAATTCCATTTACTAAGCAATTCCAAATTGAACTTCCCGCAGTCTTTGACCCCTAAACCTGCATGCTTCTTGGACTTTCATATTGTAGACCAACTAACCCAATTTATTTTCTTCATCTTCAAATATTCCCCACCCTAGAGAAAAGCTTTTTGAAATTCGACTATGTCAAGAATCACACCTTTATAAGCTTTGAAAAACGAGATTTGAAAGACGCGTAAGTTTGTAAAAATAGAATTAAGAACCACCACCCTTCCTCCAATAGACATATGTTTCCCCTGCCACTTGGAAAGTTTCTTTCTTATCTTGTTCAAAATATGGTTCCAAGTTTCCCCTCTCCTAGGGTTCCAACCCACTTGAATACCTAAAAATTTAAAAGGGAAAGTGCCGACAGAACAAGCAAGAAAATTTGATGCGGCACTAAAAAAATCCTCCTGCTAGTTGCTTCCATAGACCTTACTTTTGTTCAAATTTACATTTATCCATAATGCTAACTCAAAACCATGCAACAATGCTTTAACAATCCATGATTTATCTAAATTACCATTGCATATCAATATTGTATCGTCTGCGAATTGAAGAAGTTCGAAATGCACCTCATCATTGATGAATATCCCAGAAACTCTTACAAAAACTCATGTTATAACAGTCTAGCCCAAGACTTTTATCCCCTTTGTTGTTCCACACCACCTCTTTAATCTCTTCCCACAAAAAAAGGAGCCTATAATGAAGAAATACTAGAAAGAAAACTAAACTGAACGCCATGAAGCTTAGGCCTACTATACTCATTTTCAATAAATCTCTCCTCGAAAAAAAGATCTAGCTTCCAAATTGATATCCTCCACCAAATCAATTTTCCCTTACTCGTATATAAACCCACAATCGAATTTCTTCTATACCTATCATTCAAAGAATTGTGAAAATACTTTGAATTCATGTCCCCCTCCTTGACCCACTTGCACCTTGATTTTTGCCTGAGTGCCTTCTCCATACGCTGCAAAGCATTCCAAACAGAAGTCAAAGCAAGTAAGCAATTGTTTATCAACTTCTTATAAGCTTCCCATCTGCTTGCTGCTGCTAAATCATCCAATTTGTTGATCTTTTTAATAGCTTCGTCAACCTGCATACCCAAGGAACAAAAAATAGTTCTATTCCAAATTATCAGCTAAACTTTAAGGTGTTTCAAATTATCCTTTAACATATATGCCCCTTTACCTACTACCACATTAGTATCCCAAACTGATTTCACAAAAGAGATAAAATCTTGATGGTCAATCCAATTGGTGAAAAACTTAAACGCCTTAGGACCACAATTAGTCTCCTTAGTTCTAATCCATATTGGATTGTGATCTGAAATATCCCTAAATCCCACCTCCTGAGCCCCTAATTTTCAACAAGAAATCAAACCTACAAAAAACAAGAAATCTATTAAGATGTCTCATTGTGGATCCATCAGTCCTAAACCAGGTAAACTTTCCCCCAACTAGATGGAGACCCACAAGGTCAAGCTTAATAATAAACTCCTTGAATTCTATCAACTCCACCCTATTGATTACCAACTATTCCCTTTCCTATCATCCTCCCTCTTAATTGTGTTGAAGTCACCCCTAATACACCATTCTCCTACATCAAATTTTGCCTTGCAAGCTAATAACTCCTTACATAACAAACGCTTCGAATTAAGATTACAAGAAGAATAAATGTTCACTAGATAAATAGTGGTTTCCTTTCAAACAGTAGAATTAAGATTATTAAGACAAGGAGTTTCTAGTGTCCATATTACTCGCATCCATAAAACCCTCTGAAGCTTATTTATTTTGTGAAGGCTTTGCGAACTTAAAACCACCCTTTAATGAGCTATTCAAATACCTCATAATTGAGTTCAAAGCTTCCTAATGAAACTAACTCAGATTTTTCATAACCCAACTTACTATGATAATTTGACATCATATGTCAAGTCCTCAGCTTACCATACTATATGAGCAACCAACGGAAAATTATCGAGAGAAAATCAATGAAGTCGCCATCGAATATTTATTTATCCCGCGGAGGGAAAGGAAAACATTAAAGAAAACCTGAAGAGGGTGAAATCACGGTCTTACGATCGAGAGATCATGTAAGGTAGTCGATTACACAAGGAAAAGGTATTAGCACCCTCACGTCCGTGGTACTCCATGGGATCCACTCTTGTTGTTCTAATCAAAGAGTGTGTTCATATCTAAATATTACGAGCTAAGGAAAAAAATGCAAAGCGGGAATGCATGCAAAAAAAAACACAGGGAAAAGAAGGAATATTTACAAAGTTTCGCTCGACTGAGCCCCGTGACCAGATGCCTACATATCCCTTTTAAGGAATCAGAACGTCGTAGTTCGACTCAAAAGTTTTCGTTTGTTGGTTGATTTTAAATGAAGAGACAAGTCATCATATTTAAAGGAGAAGACTCGCCTAAACGCCCACAAGGTATGATAAAGAATAAAGAATTACGCACCGCATGAGGGAGGGTTTGAGAACACCTCTAGTACTAAAGTGGAGAAGTTGACAACCATGGGAATAGAGGAAGAACATCTCAATCATAAATGAATCATATCTAATTTCGGAAAAAAAAATATTTTAAAGGGGAAAAGGTGCTCGAGCGCACAAAAAGGTTTGAATGAAGTTGAATGTTTTTTTTAGTCCTAAAAAAGGGTTTAAGAAATGTTAGAGTGTTTTATGAATTTGCCAATAAAAAGAGTTTTAGTTTTAAGAATGCAAAAAGAAAGAAAAATATCTAAGGAAGACTATCTAACTCTATCCCTGATGTTATCATACAATGATGGTCCTATGGTCGAGTTTGAAAGGAAAATCTCTACCTATGTTAACATGCATGGATAACGATCCTAATGTCTAACTTGCATAGAAAACGAAACAAGTGAATCCTAAAGGATCATACAATGGTTCAAAACCTAAGGGAACATGGTATATACAAGGATGAAAAATAAATAAGCAATCAACAAGCTCAAGAGAGCATACACATGTCATGAGAAGTGCAACTAGCTCAAGTCAAAAGGCCTAACCAAGATATCAAATCATCGAGGTAGGTAAAAAGGGGGAATTTCCTGACCATAGATATCTCATCTAGGCAAGAAGGGGTCATGAAAGCTACTCTTAACCAAGATATCATGTTACCAAGGCAAGAAGTATAAAGTGAGGGAAATGAATGTTCAAGGCGACTAAGCACCTAACCAAGATATTAATAATCGAGGTAGTAGATAGAAGGCAATGTGAAAAAGCACAGAGCATCAACATCGTCCGACGTGAGCTCAAGAAAAAATGTAGGGGATTGGTTATAGATCCCTGTATTCCACTTGACCGACTCGATAACATGAGTAGCACAATTCGAAGCATGAACGCGCAGAGCGAGCTACGAATGACACATACTAGAAATGACGGGGTCGATTGCGGATCCTCTGCTTGCCTCACCTT